TTTCCTCCACCATCTTCACATTCGCATCCCCATCGATCAGAGAAGTATTCATCACCCTTCTTTATTCTCTGTGAATTTGTCCTTAATTTTATGTGCTGTTAAATTTGCATTTTATTATTTTTTAAATATTGAGGACAATGTTTCGTATACATTTAGGGTAGGAATATGCCAATATGTCATTCACCATATTAATGCAGTTTTTATTTTTGTGTGCTTGTGTTGTGTGAAAAAAAAAAATTATTTCAGTTTTTCATTATTCTTTGTTTTACACATTTCTAGTAGTAGTTTAAAATTTTGTATGCTTGCATGGGCTTGACAATTCTGCCAACCATGATAATTTCTATTAGGCTATATATGGATCATGAATGGTGAAAATTGTGCATCATTAAATTGATCAAAACATGTTTATGTGAAACTTAATTTACTTTGCACACGACACTCATGTTTGCATATTGGGCTAATAGTTGACTCATTACTTAGAAATAGGCGAACTTAGAAAATCCTGAAAAATGTTTCTTGTGTTAAACCATGAACAATTTTTAGAATAGTTTGGAGGTGATTGAACTGTTGCAAGGGAATACTAAGATGAGTAGGAGTTCCATGCATGATCTTATGTGTGGATTGTCTAAAACCAACGAGATGAAAATGAAGTTAAAGTTTCAAGTTAGAGTGTAGTTTTAGAAACTAGGTGTCTAAAAGAAAATTGGCATTGCACTAATCATTGAATAAACAAAGGCATCTATTCGAGCATGTATAACTCGGGTGATTAAGTATGTAAGGGTTTAAAACCTGGTACCTTATGGTCATCTGACCTGTGAATCATCGGCCTAAAACTCGCTATAGGGGTTATATAGAAAGTAAATGAAATATGTTATATAAAAAGGAAAAGAAAAAAATGGTATCTATCTATTGATGAAGTACATACATTTTCTTGTGTATGAAATGCATTGATTAGCCTCAGACACTCGATTTATAAGACTATATCTCTAATGCGAGGCAACTAGCTCAGTTTAATCTCAAGGGTTGAACAAATCAAAAATGGGAGAACCTCTGCTTATTAAAGTGTGAAATTGTGATAGTATGATTCATTCGAACTGAGAGAGAGAATGAATAGATATAAATGAGTCCAACCTTAGAACATACTCTGGAATAATTGAGTGAAAAGAATAAGTTTGGAATGTGTATCTTTCGAGCGATGAGAGCGAAAAATTTGACTACATTGGGTCGGGTATGAGTCAGCCATTATCATGATATACTGGTATGAGTTTTCACACACACAAGTCAAGTTTTGCATATAACATGTGGAGATTGATGTAATTTTTGCACGGCTATAGTTGTTCATATGGTCTCTTACTAAACTCCAATCCTGAGACACGTCAGATTGTTAAGTTATGTTTTGTGTAGATTAAGCCACATTTTGTTTGAGAACAAACAATAGTTCAAATTTGGGGGATTTAATAAGTGCGTTTTGCACACTTATTTATGCCACAAAACATGAACAATTGTTGATGTATATGTTGAAATATAGCTTAATTCGATATAATTTGTGTTTATAGAATTACAAAGATGGATGGAATGAAGACTATGAGAAAATGAACGAAAAATGATCAAAATGGAAGAACATAAAACTTCGAGGACCAAAATGTAATTATTCAGAAAGATGACCCAAATGGTGAATCAAGCATGTAATTGAGATAACTAACACATTGTGATATCATGGGATGTTAGAAAAAGAATGAGAAGGAATCAATGTCAAAAGGAGGATGAAACTAACTTAGGGACCAAAGTGAATCAAAGGGAAAATAATTTCTACCATGCAGTCGCATAGTAGAAAGTTCATGCAGTCGCCTAAACACCAACATGAGATGAATATTGAAAAATTTGTATAATCATGCTGTGGCATAGGTTTAAACCATGCAGTCGCATGGTTCATTTTAGGTGCGAATTTTCTGGTTTCCTTATTTCAATCAAATACTTATGGTAACGCATCTAGAATTTCTTTATAACTATAATCTCGTTCAAAAAGAGGGGCTACGCATTTTTTGAGAGAAAAATACATTGGAGAGCTAACAAGAAGGGGAGAACAAGGATTTCGTTCAAGATTTCATCCCTAATTTCTAGTTTTTGAGTGATGTCTTCTCCTTATTATTTTTATTGTTCTTTTATTTTATCCATGTTAAGCCAGAATTTTTATTGCACTAGGTGAATGATGAACATCGCATTGTGATCTTTTAATTTCTATTTTGCAATTTGATATTCAAACACGTTTGATGGGTGTTGAATGATTTATATATACTTTCTTGCCTCCATAATTATAGTGCACGATAATTGTGTGAGTTTGGGTGGTTTATTTTATGCATTCAAAAGAAGAGAAATAAACTCAACAAGGTATAAATCATCGTTTTGTGCATAAAGGATATAAATATACCGATATGCATTACGTGAATCTTTAAGTGTTTACAAAACGTCATGGATTCTTGTATATTGCATTTGTCATAGAAATATAGTCAAATGATATGTGAGAATATGTTCAATTCTACTCGAAAAATAATGTTAAATAAATTAGAAATATTGATCCTTCAACAAATTCATCGTGTTATCATATTGTCAAATAGGAGTTAAAAGTGAACTTGCTTGATGATTCGGGATCCTAGTACGTTTTTTATTGTTGGATATGTTAGAAACATTGATTCTTCAAACGATTCATCGTGTTGTCAAATTGTGAAATAGGGGTTAAGAGTGAACTTTGCTTGGTGATTCGGGATCCTAGTACGCTTTTTCATACATTAATTTCTTCAACTTTTGCATTCAACCATTATATTTGCATTTAGTACATAATGTTAGTTTAATTTACATATTAGTCATAATTCCATCATAAAATCACAAAAATAATCATATTGAGTTTAATAGATTCGTTAAGATCGCGATAATAGAATTCAAGTTAAATCAATTCTCGTGAGAACGATACTCTAAATTCTTGAATTTCCACTTTATTACTTGTTAACGAATCGTGCACTTGCGGTGATTTACAAAGTGAACATATTTTCGTGAACAAATTTTTGATACTTTACTTTTCAACCACACATTCTCCAAAGAACTACTATTGAGAACTCTATTTCTTCTCCCAAAATGGGAGACAAACAAGCACTTAAATTTATTGGTTTCAGATACTACGGTTTTCATCGATTATCTGAAGGATGAAGAAATCTAATCTGGCACTCTCTGTTCTGTTTTTGGACTTGAATACTATCCAGCTTATGAGTATTTTTTTTTTTTTTTAAAACAGATAACCTCAGGCAAATCCCAAATAAAGACACTGGTGCACTCCATAATGTAGCAGTCATCTTTTGTGGAAAAAGAAAATTAAAGTCTTTGTGAGTTTGCACTTTGCATTGGTTATTAGGCCAGTGATCAGTGAGTCCCTTATATCCGATTGATGTCCAGTAGGAAAACTGAATCCACCACCCCTTCTTTGTGGACTATCCAAAGTAGTGAGTAGAGGTAATTAGTGATGAGGTTCACTGGTAGATAGTCAGCCTGTAATTTCTCTATCTTCCCGCCCTGGTTTGATGAGTATTACTCCTCCTTGACTCTTTGATGAAATAGTTTTTGATTTTGATTTATATAGCGTCACACTCCTTTTCACTAGAACATGGATGAGTATAGCTTTTCCTTTCCCATTTTACTTTTTTGTCCTAGTAATAAATTTATTGTGCATTTTCAGTGTAGGCATTGATTGGAAACATCAGAAGCATTCCAGACATTGCTTAAAGAGCTCCTAAAATGAAATATGTGATTAAAATTAATTTTGACTTTGATAGCAGTAGACCCATGCAAGTGCTTAATGTGCAATATAGACTTTGAGAATCTTTTGTTTGGGTTTCGCTTTTAGTTGTTATATTGAGTTCAATATATAGAATGTGCAATCTGATTTCAATTTCTCTCACAATTTGGAAATGGATTTGCCCAAACACTAATGCTGGTCGGCTAGGGTCAGTGACTGACCAAAATCCAGGGCCTCAACCCCTGATTTGAAAAAAAAAAGGGCCCTACATGAATTCAAATCAAGGGCCAAGGTGGATGCACCTCGACCCCTGGATTTCGGCCTGGATGAGCAGCATTGCTCTTGGCCAAATGCTGCTAAAGGATCAGTGATAGCTCATTCTTTGAGTCATCATCTGTGGTGGATCGTAGAGTAACCATCATAGAGAAACAAGAAAGAAAAATTTAAGTGGCGTGTCAAGCAAGGATGAAAGGAAAAGGTAAGTGGCATGTCGAGCGATCACCTGTGGTGGACCATAAAGAATCCACCGTACAAAAACAAAGAAAGAAAAAGGTAAGCAGCGTGTCGAGCAAGGATGGAAGTCTCTCTTAGTGATGTCACTATACAACATTTGGCTTTTTTGGCTTTTTAAAAGTAAAAATTACTTTTTAATTTCTAAGTAGTTTTTTTTTCTTCCTTTTAATTGAGAAAGTTACTTATTTTAAATGTAGTTCTTGCTTTATTGACAAAAGTTTTACTTATGGATAAATTATTTCTTTTAGTTCTGTTCTGCCCATATTAAATCTGTAGAACAAAAGGTAAATGCAATACATGATCTACTCATCGTTATTGTGCGAATTTATTACAATCCAATTAAACCATAGAACTTTAAATATAAATTAAAAAACTTACACTTCAATTTTAATAAATTTAGAATTGATTTTACTGCATAAACTAGTAAAATTCAATCACAAAGGAGCCAAGTATCGCAGCTTCAAAATTTCAGGAGCAATAAACATTTCATTCTACTACTATGTTAATATAGAGATTGTTTTATCAACATAGAACACTCGTCTGAATATTTCTATGTACCTTAATCGGTGGGATCCAGTGAGGTGCCATCTCGTATTGCCTTATGGTTAAACATAAAATGATCGACAATGGAGTCAATTGTCATTTGCTGCTGACATTATTAACGAAGTAACATAGCCGGTAATGTGTACTCAACTATTTTCAATCAGTTCGTTGCTAGAAGATTTTCAATAATACTCATAGCCACATCACAAATATGCTTCAAACCCTCTTCTCTAACAGCAATTTCAGGTGGATAAATCAATCCAGAGTACCTCTTAAATGCATTTTTACAGGCATTTGGATAATCAGCAGCAGCCATAACATGCATGTAAGCATAATCATACAATTCAGCACCCAAATCTTGAACTGAATTCTGAAGTGAATCACTTGCAAAAGCATACTTTTGTGCACATTCCTTCATTACTTTCTTCATCAATGTGTCATTTGTAGAGGTTGAAAGTTGAGTAGAAAGGTAAGAAACTGTGGCAGTTGCATTTGAAATCCCAACTTTAACCATAATAACCGCCAATCCCTTTGTGTCTGATTTTGGGCTGGTGGAATCAGATTTGAGCGATGATATGCAAAGATCGTAGTAGTTTGTGTTTTTGCAAGTCTTTTGGATCAAATCTGAGTTGCCGTGTGTTGGATGGAATGAAATGGAGAGAAAAAGGAGGATGAAAACACAAGAAAATCCCATTGTAGAGACACTTTTGTGGAATTAGATTCCAGGTTTAGGGACAAGATTGAGGTTGAGGGTTGGAATGACTTGAAATGTGGGTTTCTTGAAGCAATAGGAAGATGAGGTATAAGTTCCTATAATACTTCCCTCTTGTAGATGATTTTATCATTTATTTCACACTTATCAGTAGCGAAAGATTTATAGATAATCGTATATAGCAAGAACAAGGTAATTCTTGTTTTCGATTAGTTTAAGATTTCTCTTGCTAGATCGAGTAAAGGTAAACAATGGCATCTAATTAAGTCTTGTTTTTAATAAATTTGAGGTGAATTACGTAAATTTTTTATTATCACACTACATTCAATTTATTGTTAAATCTACTACAAGAGTAGAACATTCACACATGGATCCTCTATATAATTAATATCCCACTATGCTTTTGACTTCATCGATCTGGTTAGTATGAACATGTACTACAATTTTGAGAGGTCTGTGTTGTTTTCTTCAAATTGCCTGGAAGGGTCTGTTTGGTAAGAAAGTCCCTCATTAATTAGGTATATTTGGAAGCTGGCAAGCAACCAAAATAGTGTCACGGGTCACATCTTTAAAAAAAAAACAATAGATGGGACCCTCTTTCAGTGTCACCTTGTGTTGGGAATATTTGCATTAAAACCACAAATTGGGTCCTCAAAATTATTGAATTCTTGGAATTTTTTGACAAAATATAATAAGATTTGAGCATATAACTGCACAATCTATCTACTGTTCACATTATCTCTTTCTGACTTCCATGTTCCCATGTGAATATCAAAGTGAATACCAAAGAACAACTTGGAGCTCATTTGCATTTGTGACTGGAAAACACGTAATGTTTTTTTGTGTCTAAAAATAAATTAAATTATAAATTACTTATTTTACTAAGGTAACTTTTTAAATTACTTCTTATTACCTGTCTTTGATATAATCATGTGAATACAAGTCTAATGTACTATTTGGACGTGACCAAGAAACTAATATCTGTTAACAAATCCAAATAGTCTTGAAATTGTTTTTAATAATTGTTTCCAAACAAAACAGAACAAAAAAAAATTGAACTGATCGACTAAAACTCTTAACTACATACTGTCAGGTCACTTGTACAGACATCGTGTTACAAGTTGGAGGGAAAAAATAAGGATTACGAAATTAAACAGATTATACAAAACGAAATAGTTTACCATAGTTGATGTAAGACATTGGTGACTGCCGCATGTATACTTGTTTCCAGTCTATCTGATTTGATATTTCACTTCAACGGAGAATCCCAAACCCCGGGATGTGCCCCGAAAAGGGTCAAACAGAAAAGAATCATTTCTTTTACTTTCTCAGTTTCTCCTGATGAAACTTGTGTCATCTTAGGTCGCGTTTGATTGCAAGGGTGGAAAATGGGTGGAAAGAAAATGAATTCCAGGGAAAATATTTGCCTATTCCTGATGAAACTTGTGTCATCTTAGGGCGCGTTTGATTGCAAGGGTGGAAAATGGGTGGAAAGAAAATGAATTCCAGGGAAAATATTTGCCTAGAAAATTTTTTCCCGGGAATTGTCAATTAGTTGCGTTTAATTGGTATAATTTTCTACCTAAAAAATGTTGAGATTTTCCATCTTTTTGTGTTTGATCGGCTGAATTTTCCATGGAAAATGATGGTATTTTCCATTTTTTGCTGTTTGATAGGCTTTATTTTCCATGAAAAATTATGGATTTTTTTCTCAACAATTGGTGTTTTATAGCCATTTATAATGTCCAACAGACCATGACCAACAAAATAATGTTGAAAAATGATTTAAAACCCGACTAAAATTCTTCATATTAAACACAAAGGTGGATGTGCATTTTTTTCAATAGTGGATTTTCTTCAAATAAGAAAAATAATGTTTAACCCAAAACCACCTTTTCCAACTATGACTTGATTTTTTTAATATTTGAATGTTCATATAGATTACAAAAGAAACGACAACCCACATTTTTTCCCAAATTAATACACATGGGAGAGTAGGCATCCCAAAGTTAGATGATATATTCCCACATGAGACGCTCAAATATATATTTGAAAGACGCTGCTATAATAATTATTGTACTTCTTGAAAAGCATTCATGTATAGTTTCTTTACATTTTTCATCTAATACTTGAGACAAATGACGACAATCAGTTCACATAAAGATTAATAAGTCGCCCCATTTCAAAATTCCTCTACTAGAGTTCATCACAAAGACAGAAGAAAAGTGAAAATCGAGAATCACGCAACATCTCATTGCCCCATTGTGGTATTCAGATGACACATTTCTTT